TAATAATAATAATAATAATAATAATAATAATAATAATAATAATAATAATAATAATAATAATATAAATGGGCCGCCGAGTAAACCTGAATCGGAATGGATGCTTCAAAAAAATTTAGTTTGCTTGAACCTGAACCGGCCGGGATAAATTCACAAGCCAATTCAAAGTCCACGGCTAATGGGTTTTACCGGGCCGATTTAAGGCTGGTTCGGCAGTTTTGGCTCAGTTTTGGCCACGTCACATAGTTAAGAGAGTATGAAATAATAATAATAATAATAATAATAATAATAATAATAATAATAATAATCACAAAAATTTTGCATTCGTTTTGGAGAATCATGTGAAAGGTATAGTACACTAGAATGTGATGCACCATTTTTTGTTTGTTGTAGAAATATTGGTTTGGCATCGTCCGAAATACTTAAGTGTTTCCTATAAGATTTTCTTGTTAGGCAAGCAAAATAAATTAAAGGGATGTTTTCTATTTATTTACTTGTTAATTAATTAAGTTCCTAATATTTATTATTAATAACGTATGGTATATATTTATTATAATTTGTATTATTGAGTCTTAAACCTTTAGGAGAATGATTACACAGTATATATCTTATATATTTACTTAGTATATATGCCACATGCATTAATAAGTTTGATTATATGCCATAATTACTCTTCTCTCTCTTGTAGGACAATGAATAGATGACAAAGACTATGAAAGGATGAGCTATCCACAAAAGAAGAATTTTGGACGCTCGTGAGAAGATCTAAGGAGGATTTGGAAAGATTCACCACAAGATCTTTGAAGATTTGGAAGATCGTCTATTTTAGGAAAGTTGTGTTCTTACATCAAACTAGGAACACAAGATTTTCATTGGAAGCTCAATTCTGAAGATCTCCAAATCACATACACGAATTCTACAACAAGGAAACTTACTTTACATGAAGGATTTCGTCCAAGATCTGAAAGGAATCAATTGAGAAAGAAATCAACTCCTAAAAGGAAAATGAAGAACTTTGTGAAGATTCCTTACCTTAAGGAGATTGTATATAAGCCTACTCAATCAATCAATTGAAGGGAGCTGCTGCAATAATTGAGATCATCATTCATCAGTTTCAATTAAGTGTTTGAGAGATTTTTATTCTTTTTATTTTGTTCGTCTTAGCACTCGGCGTTCTTACATTGCTGACGAACTAATTTTGTTTAGTTTCTTTTTATTTTTACAAACACTTTTTGAGTGCTTAGGAACTAAGTGCTGAATTTACTCGATGGATTCGAGTGTGTAAAGTCTACCGGACGTGGCCAGGAAAGTAATTGATAGGATCGGGTATAGTGTTGGCTAGGCTAGGAGAGGGTGTCCGAGTCGAATAAGTCCTAGTTGTACTTTGTGCGCGCAAATCGATTTATCAATGAAAGAGCTCTGAGGGGTAGTGGGACGCTCTCCGAAGACATATAATTGTTTATATCGCTTCGGCTTTTAAATTTATTTTTCTCTGTTGCAACACAATTTCGTCATACAGAATTTCTGTGTTCTAACACAATCTACGTTGTCTATACTCCCCACAATCATTTCATTTGTCAATCAGGGAAAAGGGACTGAATCACTCATATGCAAATTTAGTGATCATGATTTAGATCGGCCACACCACATGTGTCCCGTATTATGACAACTATCAAGTGAATCAAAACTGGAAAAGAAAACCAAGTAACGTGTTCTCCCGTGTACATAAATGTAATGCCAATTGAAATCAATCAAGTGGCAAACTAATTAACCACCATTACACAGCTTCATAAGGCAGGCAGCCTGGACAATTCCGTTTTCCAACCACACAAAACACCAATGGAGGCTGTGGAGCTATAAATATGATACATTAATTCAGTTTAACCACAAATTCTTGTGTGAAACAGCCTTAACTGTTTACGTAACATTATTTTGCAGCCTAGAAGATGAAGCATGCACCTTAAAAGAGGCTCATGCAAATGTGATGTGGATTTATTATAGTGAGTGATGATCAGCTGGTCCCAAAAAGCTTTTTGTTGGCTTGCAATGCACTAATTTTTTCTCACGTGTCCAGGTTGCATTTGGACAGGAGCTATCACACCATGTCTGCCTACTTTTTCCAACTATCATCTCTTTCTAAATTCATCAACTGGATGGCCTTAATATGTCAAACTTTACATTTTTCGTGGTACATAGAATTTATTTATTTATTTTTCTTTTTTTTTTTTTCGAATTAAGGGCCTACTGAAAAATATGCGATACTTTGATATGCTGACTTTGGCCGTTCCTTATTTTNGAGAATTTTCATTGCTTGCAAGTCGGAACATTAGTGTGTGTTTGTATACAAATATATCCGCTCAAGTTTTTTTAGTTAATCAGAGTTAATTTTGAAAGAAATGATATGATTAATTGTTAGTGGATTTTAAATATATATATATATATCAAAATAATATTTAAAAAAAATAATTAAAGTTGTAGAGATAATATTGATTGATAGTTAGCTAAAATTGTATATAAATGAATAGTAAATTAAAGTTGATGCAATGATTATTTGATATTATATAATTATATTGATGATATTGATGTACAGTAAAAAATGAAAAAATAATATAGAATATAAGTCAAGAATCTACGCTTCATTTTTCCGTATGAAATTACTTGTTAGAATTAATTTTATGCTATAATATAGATCTATTGCTTATTTCACTTTGTGAAATATTAGCACAACAATAATTATAATCATAAAAACACAAAGCTGCTCTGAAGTGTGGGTTTTCTTTAGTAGTATACTTTACATGAGTGACAATGACGAGTGTATACACCAATATAAAAAATTAAACATAATTTTAAAGTTGAATTATGGTCGAATAACATACACTTAAAAGTAATCCGTAAGATAAACATTATTTCAAAGTTGATATTTATTATATAATTAAATAACTTTCTAAGAATTATTAAATCAGTATGACAAAATGATGAAATTCCAACGGAAAGTTTCAATACAAATATATTTTAATGGAATTCCAACAAAAATTCTAACAAAAATATTCCGTTGGAATGAGTTTCTCATTGGAATTTCCGTTGGATTTTGACGATTCCAACGATATATTTTCCAACAGAGGTGAAAATAAAAATTCTAATAGAAATTCTTACGGTAAAAAACTGTTGGAATCATCAAATTCTATCTAAAATTCCAATGAAAAAGTCATTCCAAAACAATATTTTTGTTGGAATTTTATTCCAACGGAAACTATACTATTGGAATATACATTGGAATTTCTGTTGGAATATATTATCATAGGATTTTCCGTTGGAATATAATAATTTTTTTGTAGTGAATTGACCTGTAATATTTTTGGCGAAAAACCTATAAGAAATTAAAATATATGGTATATAATATTTATATAGTCCTTTTTTTTTCTTTGACCATACTATAGTAATTATTATTAAAATGCCCAAATTATATTATTCATTAAATTCATAACACAATTGTCATTAATATAATGCAAATTCAACATTTATATTTATGTTTTTTTACTAAAATCTAAAAATTAAGCTAAGATGTAATAATTCTCAAATAACTTACATAGTTAATGTAAAAATTCAATTATAAATGTGATATATCATATATATTGTTAAATAATTTTTATTTTAGTTGTTATCTTTATATACAACTTTATGTTATTTTTTTATTTTTTTTTTTATAATTTATGCATATATACAAGATGGATTACTAGCATTACATTATTTCACATCTCGATCCTAAAAAATTTTGTGGAGCTAGTAAAGTCTCACTTATGGGGTCATCGATAAATTAATGTACTAACACTATTCCAATTATACTTATTTTAAACACATGTTTATAAGTCACTCAATGATAATTGTTTATGGTTATATTATGTCATCCCATAATTTTATAGCAAGATTGTCTTTTATCATATCTAAATTAAACTACTAATGCATGTCCATTTCATTTACATTTTCAGATGAATTAAGTAGTAATTCTCTTTATAATTTAGGCTATCGTCCAATTATTCTCCACCCGATGCTTTAACTTTGCCCACCCATATGGAGGGCTCTTTCAAAACAGCTCAGCATTTATTAATAACAATACACAACCTAGTTTGCTTAATTCGATCATACATTATGTGGCTAATAACGATAGTTAGGCTTCTCTCCTGCAACTAAACAACGTTTGTGCAATGTATTACAATTAATGTAATCAAACAAAACTTAATACCGGAAACTTCAAGTGAGTAACAGGCTCGATAATGCATAGGCATCTGAACAATAAAAGTGTGAGTGGGCCTAACTCATACACACCAATACAATGGGGAGAATCATTAATGGATTGTTTGTTAATTAATAAATTTAATTCATACTCAAAATCTAACTCAACTTTAACACAATTTTACTATCCCAATATTATCAATATAGCTAAATAATATCAATCAATCATTCATGCATACTACATCGACTTTAATTTACTATTCATTTAAATATTTTTTTTCATTATAAACTCAAAACCTCAAACAACTAATCATATCATATTTTTTAAATTAACACTGGTTAAAAAAAAAAAAAAAAAAAAAAAACCTTGTTTTGAATGACTATATTTGTATCCAAGCAGGCCCTCTGACAATTGTGCCTATCAAGGGTCTACTAGCTTCCACTTGCTTGTTCTAGGTGAACAATTGTGCCATTTGGTATTGTATGGCATAGAGAAAGGAAATTGAAAAATTGTGCCTCCAATAGTTAGTGTTAATTGTGGTATTATTTGTGATGTGTAAAATTGTCATCGGATGGAAAATAAAGATAAATTACAGAAATAATATAATATAGGGTAGAAGATGTTTAGAATGACTTCTACATATGGAAAGGCTTCTAGAAATTTTTCGCGCCACATAAGATTATTTGTGTCATGTAGCAATAGTGAAAAGATGTTAAGGTTTACCAATGTTAAATATTAGTTCAAATCCTAGTGCAGTTATTATAACTAGAAAAATGTTAAGGTTTACCGTTGACATACCATGAAGTTAGAATGAGCCTGATAGAAAAGGAAACAAAAGGTTAGAATGAGACATAATAATCCTGGGATATACACACATCTATCGAGCAGAGCACAAGAGATTCAGCATTCTAACCATCACCTTTTACACTGGACCATAATGACAAAACGAAAAATACAAAAGGCCTTAACCTGAAAATATAAAGGGACCAACTGGGAAAATGATGCCAGCCGTGATTGCCACAAAGCTAAGTTACTCTTCGAGTTAGCAACCTGTTTAACATATTCTAAACCAAGATGCCTGCAAATGTCAAAATGTGAACCTATTTTTCTAGAGCAGTTGCTACTGAATCTCTGTTTACGTAATAATAAGAACTTGAACACGAAAACAATCCCAAGTCCATAAGGAACTTACCAGTTTATCTTTTTACCCGTTAAAATAAAGAAGTATGTACAAATTGTATATCAGCCCTCAGTTTCCCATATTTTACAAACCAACTAAGGAATTCACACAGAACAGTTCATACATCTGCTAACTCAACAATGCTAGTAATAGTAAGCAAGTTTGTGCATTTGCTAACTCAACCATACAAGTACTCTTAAGCAAAATTGAAAAATACAATAGCAAAATTTGTATGGTGCTAACTCATTAACTCAACCAATAATAATCACTTTCCATTTAGAGTTTGCCAACTCTCTCCAATAAATTAAAGCAAGTACTCATTCATTATATGAAGGATAGCAAAAATACTTTTTTCAAAACAATATTACCAGACAAGACAACTCGATGGGCACGATAATCAGCTGCCAATCGGACCTCCTTTCTCAGCCACATCATACCAATCATCTCACGCTCTTTCATCGTTCGATTTCCTTCAAATCTCCCATATCTCCTAACTTCACCAGCTTTCCCTGTTTCTATCATTAGAATCAAAACTACCCCTAAACTGTCTTCCATGGTTCCCCTTTTGATTCCCATATCTCCTATTATACCCATTTCCTAATTCTCCCTTTTCTTCGTCAATTTTCAAGTTCTCCACGTCTAAAACAAACTCTTCCACCTTTTGATCACCATTTAAGCCTTCATCTTCAACTCTATCATCTCCATTGATTCCACTCTTTGCACTGTAAACCTCCAAATTCTTATCCAGGTGTTATCCGTGGACTCTTTTTCCACCACATTACCATTCAAAACATCAGCTCCGTTCTTCATCGATCTATAATTACGATTCCTCATTCTCTCTCCCCGATTTTCGCCATTTCGTCGACCTATAATTACGCTAAAACCACCATTTCAAGAGGGTAGAAAACTAGAAAAGTGTTTCGTTGAGGTCGTCCTCGAAGATTTGGAGTAAAGTTTGTTTTTAATCATACTTCCTCCTACTACATACTGAGTGTGGCTTTGAAAATTTGTACAATAATTATTTTTTTTTTTTGTCAATAATAACCCTCATTAATGAAGATAGAGATGGATATTTTGAGAAAAGATGAAGAGTGAATATGACAAAACTTAGTGAATGAGAGTAATAATGAAAAATTATGTACAAAAAATTCAGAACGTCATTTATTTGGTTAATGGTTGATAAAGCCAAAATGACATTTAAAATAATAGGAGGTAGTAATATTTATTTGACATGTTCCTCATCTTCGAATTATAATATCAAATAATTTTACTTAATATTCTTTTAGAGAAACAAATCACATGCACCCTTTGGAGAGTGTACGTTGATATAATTCTTGATGCAATCAAGAACTCATCTCCAGCCAATCCGTGCGTCGTTCTTATCCAACTGAGTCGAGTGAAAGCTTTTGACGACAGTATTACATTAAACTTTAATTTTTTTACACTCTTATATGAACTATAAAGAATTGTCTCTTTTTATATGTTGTTTAGGTGTTGTGAGAATTGTCGGTGACGAGTTTGCAACAAAGATGATAACTTTCAACGATTTTAGTGAGATCCTCGACTTCAAGGAAAGGTAATTACTTGAAGGTCGGCATTTTCAGGGATGCTGCTGAATAACATTGATCATTAAATGGAGTTGTGCAACGGTACACGTTTGGCTATTACTAAGCTCATCAGCAATGTCCTTGAATGCAAAATTTTTATCGGTGCGAGAGCTCGTGATAAGGTTCTTATCCTAGGATCACTATCATTTCTTCTGATTTGAGGTACCGTTCAAGTTTCAGCAGACAGTTTCATGTCATGGTTTCCTAAGCTATGACGATTAATAAAAGTCAAGGTTAGTCTTTATAACACTTCGGCATAGTACTGAATAATCCTATTTTTGGGCAGTTGTATGTGGCTCTTCCCAGAGTTACGAATCAAGAAGATACTGACATGTGATGATGGGGAATTTGACGATAGGGGAATTTGACGATAGGAAAACTATGAATATAAGGAAGTTTTTAAAAATATTTAGAATTCTTTTCTTAAGTCATAATTTTTCATGAATTAAATTATGATATTTATTTTTTGTCTTTCTTTTCCTTTCTCTTCTAATAACTCGCATTCTGTGCAAATGCATGAGTAGATTACTAGTTAAGTTTAACATCTTGCAAAATTAAAATTAAAACCAAATTACAAATTAATTTGCATGATAACAAGTTACAAGAGCTAAGTTTAGTGCAAAATTTCATTCAATTAATTTATTCCAACACATTCTAGAATATAGGATAATAATCAAAAGAAAAATAGAAGAACTTAGTTGATAACGTACATGTGCTTAAGATCTCGTCAACATCAAAACAATGTTTTCTCATTCACGATTCAAAATAATGTCCAACGCCGTGTCTGCAAATAAAGCATTTGGTCGATCTGATAGATAGGCTGTCCTAATCTTGTTTTAGTCATAAACAACAACTAGTCATTAAATTACCTCATTATATTATCTGTACGATCGCGACCTTTCCAAACCAAATCCATTTAAACAGAAAACGAGGGAACTCAAAATTACTATAAAGCCCTTTGTAGCATGGATAACTTTTAAAAAAAGTAGTGTAAGACGATCTAATTATACCTTTTTTTCTCAATATAATTGTCTGATCTTAAAGAAAATGGAGCTGTTAGCACGTTCAATTCTTGGTGTTCAACTCATCATCACCCTCAAGAAGTCAAGACCCCATAAATCAACCAAATCACACAAAAAAAAAATAAATAAATAAATAAATAAAGACCAAGAAACAAAAGAAGCTTCCATGGAATTTTAAACCTGATTTATTTTGACCGCCAATTGCCCCTTGATCAAGTCTTGCATATGGGGGGCCCTCTTTCTATCTCTCTATATACAACTAGGAGCTCTCTATTTCTCTCTCCACCTTTCTTGATC